ATCTCTTCTCTCCCAGAGAAAAGCTGTGTCCCTCCTCCATTGTCATGCAACTGAGCAAGTAAGTTCCTGTGGGGTGCTATCGTGTGCTGCCCTTGCCCTGGGACCAAGCACTGCCTGGGGAGCGCGTGCAGTAGTACTTTCTCACCACATGCCTACACTGGTCACACTTGACCGTGCAGCACCACTGGAATTTGCAGTTACAGCTGCTTATAGCCTCAGTTCTCTTCTCTTCCACCTGCAGGCCACACTCTGTACACAAGCGCCCGCAGCTGCATTGCTCCCACCTGGATGTATTGTGGCTGTTCTGCAGACACTCCCGACCCTCTGTGCCATAGATGCCCAAGCTGGAATTGCGGGTACAGTAATCAGGCGATTCCTCTAAAAAGATCAGCTCAGCTTCTGCACTAGGAAGGAAGGCCTCAGTGGGTGCCCAGTGGCCCTCGGCACTGTTCCCAGCCCTTAGCCGCCGCTTATCCATCTCAATTTTCAGTGCCTGGTCATACTTGGCCTTTAGGTAGTTGCCCATCTCCCGGAAGTTAGCCAGCTGCAGCCAGCATGTCTGGATGCTACAGCTCCCCGAGATGCCATGACATTTGCAAGTCCTTTTCATGGTGGCTCTCACTGCCTTCACAGAGAGAGAAAGAGAGAGGGAGGACAAAAGGAGATTGGCTCTGAGTAGAGAAGACCAAAGGCTAGCAATTAATGGAATATTTTAGATTTGTGCTTCTTAACTTTAGAGTACATTAGAATTATGAGGGAGGCCCGTAAGAAGATCTGGGCCCTACCTCATATCTTCTCAATTAGGAAGTTCAGAGGTTTAAAGGCCATGGTATTGGTGATTTTAACATTCCCCTGAGTGATTCTTATGGAAGAAGTGAGGCAAGTGTTGAGGAGGTTACTGAAGTCAGGTAACCTAGGCTGAAGGCCTAACTTCATCACTTGTGAGCCTGTTTCTTTTTCTGCCCATAAGAATAAGAATGATCAAGAAAGTAATTTGTAAATTAAAAATGAAAAACATGATCATTGGCACTGTTATTGTGTTGAAGCTGGGGGCTAGAGTATTTGTGGGTATTTGGATTTGTCTTTTGGGCCCTCTCCCAGAGGGAAGGAAGCTCTGAACCCCTACCCCCAAGGCGATTACCCATGGTTGTAATTGCCTTGAAAACCTCTTCCCTTTGCCATGGGCAACCAGGACATCTAGTATAGGTTCAAAGGGAAATTTCTATGCTCTTAGCTTCTAATACAACTAGACTCCAGATTTCAGTTCAGAACACTCCAAGGATTGCTACCCCACCAAAAGTCTTGGGGGAGATTAGACCTTCCAGAGAAGCTTAGATCAGTCCCAACCCCTCCAAGCCCAGAAAGACATTAGGACATAGGTTGTATGATAAACCCCTGTTAATTTCCTAGAAATGCAGTTGAAATGGTTGAAATTTTAAGTCATGAAAGCAAGGCCTTTGTTCTGTGTTCTCAGAAACCTGCCTGTAGAAGGAGCTAGCATATAAGGTTTAGTGATAAAAGGACTAGGCTAAAAGATCTGTGTTCATTGTCTGGTTCTGATACTTATTAGATGTATTGCCTTGGCCAAGCCACGGCTCTGCCTTAACTGGCTTTGTCATCCAGAGAATGGGGGTAGCTATCCCAGTCCTGCTGGGTGGTGTGAGGATGAAACATGTATGAGACAGCTCTTGGTAAGTTGTGAAGGTCTGTATGGATGTGAGGCTTTTGTAAATACTGAGCCTGTTGGCTCATTGGTCAACTCTTATACGTACCAGCCTGCCTGCCCTGTTGTTATGAAGATTCATTAGGGCTCTGGCATCCTTCCCCTTCTCCAGACTGTCCACGAAGAGTTTGGAGATTCTTTCCCCAAACTCTACATTGTCGCTGCAGCCTCCCCAGATCCAGCCATGGCCTCCTACGCATAAGGAAAGAATAAGTTCTGTGTATAGCTTCCTGCTAAGTCCCTGGAGAAGAGTCAAGGTCATTTTAGCTGACATAGACCATCCCCAAGAGTCCTAGAAGTGTGTAAAGCTATAGCTAACGGTGAGACAGGGAGGGAATTCCCTGGTAGTCCAGTGGTTAGGACTCCGCACTCTCAGTGCCAAGGCCGGGGTTCAATCCCTGGTCAGGGAACTAAGATCCTGCAAACCACGCAGGGCGGCCAAAAAAAAAGGAAAAAGGTGAAACAGGGAAATGGAGGTATTTTCGGTGGGGGTCGGGGGGAGTCCTATTCCCAAAGCCAACTACCCACCCTTCAGGTACTCCCCAACTCTAGACAGTTCAACTCTATACCCAAAGTAAAGGTAGGCACGCTGGGGCTGGCCTAGAGGATCTCAAATGTTCACTGCAGTTCAAACATTCTAGAATTCTGTACCATTATGCTACAGTAGTCTTGTTAGAGCCACCTCCTCCCTCATTAGTGACAAATCCAAGTCTCTTAGGCTGTCTGCAGATAATTGGGTAGCTCTGGATTATGCACAAGTCATTCTAAGGCTGAAATACAAGGGTTAGCTTTAAACTCTCTTTGGCCTCCTCCTTCCTAGATGCCTTGTTGGCTTTAGAGCTTGGTGCTACTTGCTGGTCCTAGAATCATGGATCCAGCTCAGTTCTTAGGAGGGTCTAGATCTAGGAGCTCCCACCAATGAAGCTGCTGCTAGAGTCTAGGGGTTTGAAGAAGCTGTGTCCCTCAGCCTTTCCCTGGAAGAGTTTAGCCTACGCTCAGCTCTATACCCTTCACCTCTTCCCACCCCCATCAGAGAGCACAACTTACCTGTTTTTCCATTTTTTGACTCATCACAGCCACAGTTTTCAAAGTCGCCCATGCTACAGTTCTTGGTGATGGTGTACATGACTCCAGCAGAGCTGATAGCATGAATGAAGGAAGTCTCCCTGGTGGCTTTGGAAAGAAAGAAGGGGCTGGAAACTAGGACCCTGATGACCCAAAGAAGAGTTTTTGGAAAAGAAATGCCATTTCATTTCTCTCTCCTGTCCCCCTCCCTCTTTGGGTTTATTAAGAGAATGCTCTTCTACTTGAGAGAACAGTGCATGCCTTTCCAGCATCCTTACTTCATCCAGGCAGGAATGAGCATCCCCATGCTACAGATGGGGAAAGTAAAACCCAGAGATAAAGTGATGAGACCAAGGCCACTCTCCTCACCAGTTATGGTGTTGGGACCAGGACACTATCCCCCTGATATCCAGCCTAGGCCTCTGTTCATTAGCCATTGCTTCTTGTCCTTAGGCAGTGAGGACTCAGAGCTATGAGGCTGGCTCATGAAAGAGAGAAGGGTATTTTCTTCTCTCTGACATGGAGTTGGAGCCATGTAATAGTCATCATGATAATACCTACCACTTACTGAGCTTGTATCTTCCTAACTCTTTATAAACGTTGTCCCATTTTACTTCTCATCCTATTTGTATACCCCACAGGAAGATACTTTTTTTCCTATCTTTACTCCCTTCCCCCTAGCTTTTCTCAGGCAACTCTTCATTAATAGTTTCTACATAAACAACTTTCATGCAAACTACTATACATAGTTACAAACAACTGCTGACACACACACACACACACACTCAAGTTGAAGCATAGCTCAATGTGTGATCTCTGTTTCTCTGTTGTTGGGATTTTATGACAGTTGAAACTCCCTCAGGGGCTGCAAACACAGAGCCCTTTCCCCATTTTTGTTTCATGCAAATCAGTACAAGATAAGTGTGTACAAACACAAATACAGACATGCATTAAAAAATAGAGTAATTACATTTCTATAGAGATACCTTTGTATTCACCTCATTCAACCCTCACAACACTCCTGGTGAGCTAAACAGCTGACCTTATTGACCCAAATGACAACACTGAGGTTGAGAGAGGAAGTAACTCACTTGAGGTCACACAACAAGGAAGTGGCAGATCACTGCTAACTTTTTCATTGCACTGTACACATACATGTTACACATACATATATACTTCAAGCCCAACTTCATGGACATACACCCCTTTGTACAGGTGCACAAACTTACCACTTCTCAGTCTGTTGTGAGTGGAAAGCTGGAGAGCATTTTCAGGGCAGTTCCAGCGTTCCCAAGCAAATTGGAACTTACACTCCTCAATGCCACTCTGGGCACCCAGGGCCACACTGGTGGTGTAGGTCAGATAGGCCTGGCAGAGGGGAAAGGATGTGAGCTTCAACCCTGGCTCTAGTCAGGTCATCTGGGTCAGAGGGTGCAAGCAAGACTCAAATGGGTTAGCTCTCCATTAGGGAATAATCAATCATAGGTTCCTCTGGGTGGGTGACTTCTGGCACTATCTCCCTTCCCCTCTTTTCCTTCCCCATAAGAGTTCCCTTAGGAACCTGGATGGGTAAAAACAGGAGCAGGAGATCATCCTACCTTGGGACCTGTTATCAGGAAATTGTTCACTGACCTACCAAAAAGAGAAAAAGTGAGGTAATGGTGAATGGGGATGAGGTAGTAGAAGCTTCCTTGGTGAGGAGGGGGGGTGGGGGGGAGGGAGAGGGAAGGACTTACCAGGCAGAGGCACTGAAGGTTGCATAGCATATGCCCACAGCCACCCTGAGCATAAACAAGTCCCCCATGGCCCTTCCCACCCCCAGGGGACCAAGTCTAGCCCAGGGCCAAGTCCAGAGAAGTGAGGAGAAGGCAGGATCTTTCTCAGTATTTATGTAGGGAAATGCTGAATGGCCAAGGGGGAAAAAATCAACAGCTCTTCTCATTTGTCCCTCACTGGCAGGGCTGTAGGAGCCACTGACCCAATGGGGGACCAGGGAGGAGGGACTCAGCCCAAAGCCTCCAAGGGAAGCCCCGCCCTGCCCCGCCCTGCCAGCCCTTCTTCCCTCCCAGGCTGACAGATGGGCTGAGGCCTTTCCCTACCCAGGAGGTTTCTACCCTCTATAAGTCAGACTTTTGTCTCTTCCTGCTTGAGGGCTCATTTTTCAGGATCTTGTAGCCCAGAGCAAGCAAGTTTCCTAGCTCTGCTAATTCTAAAGATAGGTCATCTATCCCTCAAAGTTATGGTGTCCTCACCCGTTAATAAGACCCCACTCCTTACCCTGCCTTCCTCCTCAAGGTGTTAATAATTATAGAGGAACTCTACTTGGGGCCCTCTCCTACTCATTTTACCCAAGCAACCAAGTGCACCATTCCTACCTCCTCCCTTGGTGACTGTAAAGTCACGTGGGACCCTGGAGCAGACACACTTCAGAGGCCACCTCTCAACAGTCCCTTCTACCATATTCTACCAAAGTAAGTTCTGGTAAATCTCCTTCATTCCTAGTAGGTCTACCATTTTATATTTGTTAGAGCTCTAGTTTGTTAACTGCTTGTATATGTGAGAATCAACCTTTGGGCCACCCAGGGCTATATTTCAGAAGACTGATGCCTTTCTTTCTGATAGCACTTTGTTGCTAGGACATAAGCTCCTTAGGCAGGAATCTGTCTTTAAGATTCACTTTGTATTCTTAGTGCTGAAGAAGATGCCTGGATGAATGAACAAATGAGTGAAGGAATGAATGAATAAAAGAACTTGTGAAAAAAAAAAAAAGAACTTGTGGCCCCTAGGAAGAACCCGAAGCAATATTAGGTAGGGTCGGGGACTGCAATGAAGGGGTGGAGACCTTCCTTGGTTGGTGAAACTCTTTTCTAAGGCTGGGGAAGGCAGGCTAAAGAGATGCAGAAGGAAGTACAAACAGGAAGTTACAGTCCTAACTCATTACTCTGTGACCACAATCCAGATCACTTCACAGCACCCTGGACTGGATTTAGATGAGAAAGGGAGCTCAGAAATCCCCCCACCAAAGGAGTTCCAGGGGCCAAGGAGTTCCCCAGGCCTTTTTAGAGCAGTGAACTCAAAGTGTGGGCTGGGATTAGTGTCAGCCTGCAAACTATTATCTTTATGTGAGAAGATAAGTACAGAAATGAAAATGTTTAGAAATTTTTATAGCAGTTTGACAGAGTGATTTTAGATATGTTGAAATCTAATAAGAAATTTGGGCTCCTATTCTGTGTCTTTTTTTCTGTTTCATTTTTCTAGGAGGATGGGTATGAATGTCTCAAATGCAAAATGTCCTTAATGGACTAAAGCTCTGGCTCTCAGCCCAGCAAGCTCTCTTCCTTTCCTTGCTTGTGGGATTCTCTCCTTGGGGAAGAGAGGTGTCCCACACTGAGTTACTTGGGAAAAGCACACTGAGTTTTGCCTCAGTGGCCTTTTCTCTCTTTCCTACTTTTCCCAATCAAGAATCTAATATTTACACCTGAAACTGATTTAATATTGTAACTGAATGATACTTAAAAAAAAAATCTATTGTTTAATTTTCACTTCTTAAGACAGCAGGGTTGATTTCCATGCCACTGACTGTGTGTTCAGAACAGGGGTCACATTAGACCCAAGGAATCTCCCACACCCCTTGAAAGAGTTTTAGGAGTGATCCCACATTCACTTCCTGTGTATGAGTGACTGGGTCTTATTCTTCTGTGCTCCCCATAGCACTTGGCATTTAGTTGGTACTCTATAAAAACATTCTTTAATTTTCTAGGAAGGAGAGGGGAAGGTGGTGAGCTTTTTGCATGTAAACTTTGTGCTTGCTCCTGCTCACATTCTCTAAAGATCATATAAATTCTCTAAAAGGAATTTAGGATGTTAAAGAAAGGCCTCTGCTCCAGGTATTAGGAGCCTTGGATGTTGGCCATTAATTTATTATGTGACCCTGGGCAAGCTATTTACTGTCATGTGGACTCAATTACTTCATTTGAAAAATGAGAGAGTTGGGAAGATGTTGAGTGTTGAATAACCTCTAAGGATTCTACCAGCTCTCTTACATGCTATAATCCTAATTTTATGATTTACAAAATTTATTAACCCCAGAGGTGATTGTAGGCCAGAGATGGGAAAGTCTTGTCTTCTCCAGCTGTCAGCATGGAAATCTTATGTATCTTTAAATCCTTCAGTTGGCCATCTGGATAAGCCTGTGAGATGGATACCTGGAGGGCAACCAATGGCTTCTTCAGAGTGCTTTGGGACTCTGTCTACATAAGACCGTGGTGCTGGACTGATGATAGTCATTCATTGTGGTAGAGGGTCTCCTGGAGGGAGAGAAGAGCCAGAGATTGGTGCTCCACACTGAAGTTTACACATCATTTATAGCCAGCTTGTGCATCCATTTCCTTAACCTCAGCTCTATTATCTCATTAGTTTTTATTTATTTATTTATTTATTTATGGCTGTGTTGGGCCTTCCCTGCTGCATGCGGGCTCTCTCTAGCTGTGGCGAGCAGAAGCCACTGTTCGTTGCCAGGGCATGTGGGATCTTCCCAGGCCAGGGCTTAGAACCTGTGTCCCCTGCATTGGCAGGCAGATTCTTAACCACCATGCCACCAGGGAAGTCCCTATCTCATTAGTTTTTAAGTGACGATTCAACTCTTTCAACTGTTGGTTTCTCTCTTTTGGGAATGGAAATCAGGAACTGAAGACCAGAGTAGACGACAATAGTGGAGCAGAGTGGGCCTATGACCAGACAGACAGAATAGTAGTATATCTGAGCTAGTGGTGTGCTGGTAGATATTCAACAACCAGTTTCAGTGTGATAGGAGACATGATTGGTAGTGTTTGCTGATTTGCATGGTGTAAATACTTCCACCATGGCTGATTTCAAACTACCAGTGTAGACTTGGGAAGAGACAAATAGTGGCACATCATTATACAGTATTTTTATCGTAGGTATGATAGATGTAATTAACCTTAAGGGTATAGATAATAGTAAAATCTAGTAAAATAATAAGGAAGTGATAAATTTTGACTACTTATCTTTGTTTTTGTTTGGCCGTGTCATGCAGCTTATGGGATTTTAGTTCCCTGACCAAGGATCGAACCCCAGGCCCCAGCAGTGAGAGCACTGAGTCCTAACCACTGCACAGTCAGGGAATTCCTTTTTATTTTCCCCTTTGTTTTTAATATAATTAATTTATTTATAAGTTTAATTGTAAGTTTATATAATTTAATTTTAATAACAGCTGTGTTTAACAACCAGTTTGCAAAATTCCTAAAAATTTCACAATAGGTTCTCTGAGACTGGACAAGCTGCCTCCCACCACACTGCTGGATCCCTGTATCCTCCCTCTAGGCCACTGGGAGGTAAAGTGCAAAAGATTTCTCTGTAGAATTTAACACCAAATATTTGTTTGTTCCAGTTATATGCAAGGCTTTAACCTTTGCTGAGCCAAAGTCTTGCTACCTGCCCTCAAGGAGCTTAGTATCTAGTAAAAAGGAGATAAGGTCTGTATCTAACTATAATCTAGGGCATCGAGTGGTAGGTGGAATGCAATGAATAAATGCACTGTATTCCACTGGAATGGTATTCATAGAGCTAGAGAGGAGTAGGACGGGCTAATCCTGAAGGCCCCTTCCACCTCATGTTCCAGGATGTTGAGATACCAGGAGTCTTAGGGGAACACTGGGGGCAGTAATCAGTGAGGAGTAAGCCAGAGTCACCCTTGCTGTGCCCAGCTTCAGGAAATCTAGAGGCCATTTATAGTGGCATAGAGTGTCTAAGCTAGAGGCTCCCATTTTTACAAGGATATAACTGAGGCCCAGAGAGAGAGGATTTACTTAGTGTTACAGTGAGTTGGGGCCAAGAGAGCCTTGATGCTACCATCCTGGTTTGCCCAGGACTGAGGTGTTTCCCGTGGTATGGGACTTTCAGTGCTTAAACCAGAACAGTCTTGGGCAAACCAGGATGGTTGGTCACTCTGCGGTAATGGTGGTGTGCATCCTAAGCTAATGCTTCTTCCAGATGTGCATTCTCACTAAACTCCCCAGATCCCTGATTCCTCCACATTTCTTTTCCAGGCTCCTTTTTCAGGGCTCTGAGACTAGAGGGGCTGCTTAGACTATGGAGCAAGTTGGGGGGTGTGGGAGTTGAGTGAGAGGGTGGAGAGAGGGTGGAGATGGCTGGAGAATGCCAGAAGAGAAGGAGATAGGATTTCTGACTTTTAACACTCCTCTGCTAATTAGATAAGGGGTGGAGATGGGGGGTAGAGAGAATGAGCCTCCATGCATATTCTTCTGAGCAGTGACACTGAGCAGAGCTCAGGAATTTTTAATCTCTGGTCTCCACCCCTCCTCCTTGGAAGCTTGTCTCTTCCCACCCCCTGGTGACTCCCAGTCCAAATGCCACAGCTGCTTGAGCCCCTGACCCTCCCTTTGACCCCCCAGTTTAGCCTCAATGACTTGCAAAGTTCCTCAACAATATACCCAGGGAAGGAAGAGGAGAATACTTCAATTTTCCCTTTGAGATCTAGGTTTCCAAGTGTGGGGAAGAAAATAGGCCTTCCTGTGTGGAAAATTGGAGCAGTTCCTGGAACACATGGGCCTGTGAGGCCTGGGGTACATTAGAGGGGATAAATCTGCAAGCCATGACTAGCTGTTTCTTGCTTGAAGGTATATTTCCTTCATCAGTTGGGAAGCTCCTTAGGGCTTGCCCTTGTCAATCCCAACCACACAGGAATCTCTCCAAGGATAGCAGCATATTCTCCCATCAACTGAGGTGCCCAGGTGGCAGAAGCTGCATCATCATTAGCCTAGAAAGGTTTGGAGTTGGAGGGGCTCATCCAAGGAGAGATTTCAGTTGGCTAAAACCCCTTTATTATATTTTTTATTCTCTCACTGTTCAAAACTCCCATCTCTGGACATTAGATAGAACACAGAAGTTCCAAGTTAATGTTTCTTGATTGATTGTTGTTGAAGAAAGTACGGAGATGATTGTGGAATTTTATTAGTTTTCAGAGAAATATGCATCCATCTATCCACTTATTTATTCTAAAAATATTTACCTACTTAGTTCAGGCTAGTATTCAACACTTATGGGTCTAAGATGAATTATCATTATTTGTTTTTATCCTGGAGGAGCTCTTAGTCTGGTCTGAGAGAGAAAAGCTTAAATAATTTATAACAATACAGTGAGATAAAGTACTCTGGAAAAGTTGGAGGGGGAGTAAGGATAATGAGTAAATCTCCATAGACAAGGACTTCTGATAGAGACCTGCCATCTGGTGGCGATGAATGGTACAACACGCTCTTTGTTGCTCTGATGTGGGATTCAGTATTGCAAATTTCAGCCTTTATTGAGCACCTGCCCAATGGGTAGCCAGCCCAGTGGTTGGCACTGCGATGCATATACATTAAAGCTTCTAAGACGACATTGGTCCTTAAAAAACTTGCAGTGTGCTTGTGGATATAAAGCATAATTGAAA